TTACTCCTGTGTTACTCCTCGTGTTACTCCTGTGTTACTCCTGTGTTACTCCTGTGTTGCTCCTGTGTTACTCCTGTGTTACTCCTGTGTTACTCCTCGTGTTGCTCCTCGTGTTGCTCCTGTGTTACTCCTGTGTTACTCCTGTGTTACTCCTGTGTTACTCCTCGTGTTGCTCCTCGTGTTGCTCCTCGTGTTGCTCCTGTGTTACTCCTGTGTTACTCCTGTGTTGCTCCTGTGTTGCTCCTGTGTTACTCCTGTGTTGCTCCTGTGTTACTCCTGTGTTACTCCTCGTGTTGCTCCTCGTGTTGCTCCTGTGTTACTCCTGTGTTACTCCTGTGTTACTCCTCGTGTTACTCCTCGTGTTGCTCCTGTGTTACTCCTGTGTTACTCCTCGTGTTACTCCTGTGTTACTCCTCGTGTTACTACTCGTGTTACTCGTGTTACTCCTGTGTTACTCCTCGTGTTGCTCCTCGTGTTACTCCTGTGTTACTACTCGTGTTACTACTCGTGTTACTCCTGTGTTACTCCTGTGTTACTCCTGTGTTACTCCTGTGTTACTCCTCGTGTTACTCGTGTTACTCCTGTGTTACTCCTGTGTTACTCCTCGTGTTACTACTCGTGTTACTCCTGTGTTACTCCTCGTGTTACTACTCGTGTTACTACTCGTGTTACTCCTGTGTTACTCCTGTGTTACTCCTGTGTTACTCCTGTGTTACTCCTGTGTTACTCCTGTGTTACTCCTGTGTTACTACTCGTGTTACTCGTGTTACTCCTGTGTTACTCCTCGTGTTGCTCCTCGTGTTACTCCTGTGTTACTACTCGTGTTACTACTCGTGTTACTCCTGTGTTACTCCTGTGTTACTCCTGTGTTACTCCTGTGTTACTCCTCGTGTTACTCCTGTGTTACTCCTCGTGTTACTCCTGTGTTACTCCTCGTGTTACTCCTGTGTTACTCCTGTGTTACTCCTGTGTTACTCCTCGTGTTACTCCTCGTGTTACTCCTGTGTTACTCCTGTGTTACTCCTCGTGTTACTCCTCGTGTTACTCCTGTGTTACTCCTCGTGTTACTCCTGTGTTACTCCTGTGTTACTCCTGTGTTACTCCTCGTGTTACTCCTCGTGTTACTCCTGTGTTACTCCTGTGTTGCTCCTGTGTTACTACTCGTGTTACTCCTGTGTTACTCCTCGTGTTGCTCCTGTGTTACTCCTGTGTTACTCCTGTGTTGCTCCTGTGTTGCTCCTGTGTTGCTCCTGTGTTACTCCTGTGTTACTCCTGTGTTACTCCTCGTGTTACTCCTCGTGTTGCTCCTGTGTTACTCCTGTGTTACTCCTCGTGTTACTCCTGTGTTACTCCTCGTGTTACTACTCGTGTTACTCGTGTTACTCCTGTGTTACTCCTCGTGTTGCTCCTCGTGTTACTCCTGTGTTACTACTCGTGTTACTCCTGTGTTACTCCTGTGTTACTCCTGTGTTACTCCTGTGTTACTCCTCGTGTTACTCCTGTGTTACTCCTGTGTTACTCCTGTGTTACTCCTCGTGTTACTCCTCGTGTTACTCCTGTGTTACTCCTGTGTTACTCCTCGTGTTGCTCCTCGTGTTGCTCCTCGTGTTGCTCCTCGTGTTGCTCCTCGTGTTGCTCCTGTGTTACTCCTGTGTTGCTCCTGTGTTGCTCCTGTGTTACTCCTGTGTTACTCCTGTGTTACTCCTCGTGTTGCTCCTGTGTTACTCCTGTGTTACTCCTCGTGTTGCTCCTCGTGTTGCTCCTGTGTTACTCCTGTGTTACTCCTCGTGTTACTCCTCGTGTTGCTCCTGTGTTACTCCTGTGTTACTCCTCGTGTTACTCCTGTGTTACTCCTCGTGTTACTACTCGTGTTACTCGTGTTACTCCTGTGTTACTCCTCGTGTTGCTCCTCGTGTTACTCCTGTGTTACTACTCGTGTTACTACTCGTGTTACTCCTGTGTTACTCCTGTGTTACTCCTGTGTTACTCCTCGTGTTACTCCTGTGTTACTCCTCGTGTTACTCCTGTGTTACTCCTGTGTTACTCCTGTGTTACTCCTCGTGTTACTCCTCGTGTTACTCCTCGTGTTACTCCTGTGTTACTCCTGTGTTACTCCTGTGTTACTCCTCGTGTTACTCCTCGTGTTGCTCCTCGTGTTGCTCCCGTGTTACTCCTCGTGTTACTCCTCGTGTTACTCCTGTGTTACTCCTGTGTTACTCCTCGTGTTACTCCTGTGTTACTACTCGTGTTACTCCTCGTGTTACTCCTGTGTTACTACTCGTGTTACTCCTCGTGTTACTCCTGTGTTACTCCTGTGTTACTCCTCGTGTTACTCCTCGTGTTACTCCTGTGTTACTCCTCGTGTTACTCCTGTGTTACTCCTGTGTTACTCCTGTGTTACTACTCGTGTTACTCCTCGTGTTACTCCTGTGTTACTCCTGTGTTACTCCTGTGTTACTCCTCGTGTTACTCCTCGTGTTGCTCCTCGTGTTGCTCCTGTGTTACTCCTGTGTTACTCCTGTGTTACTCCTCGTGTTGCTCCTCGTGTTACTCCTGTGTCACTCCTGTGTTACTCCTGTGTTACTCCTGTGTTACTCCTCGTGTTGCTCCTGTGTTACTCCTGTGTTACTCCTGTGTTACTCCTCGTGTTACTCCTCGTGTTGCTCCTCGTGTTACTCCTGTGTTACTCCTGTGTTACTCCTGTGTTACTCCTGTTTTGCTCCTCGTGTTGCTCCTCGTGTTGCTCCTCGTGTTGCTCCTGTGTTACTCCTGTGTTACTCCTGTGTTACTCCTCGTGTTGCTCCTCGTGTTGCTCCTGTGTTACTCCTCGTGTTACTCCTGTGTTACTCCTCGTGTTGCTCCTCGTGTTACTCCTGTGTTACTCCTGTGTTACTCCTGTGTTACTCCTGTGTTACTCCTGTGTTACTCCTCGTGTTACTCCTCGTGTTGCTCCTCGTGTTGCTCCTGTGTTACTCCTGTGTTACTCCTGTGTTACTCCTCGTGTTGCTCCTCGTGTTGCTCCTGTGTTACTCCTGTGTTACTCCTCGTGTTGCTCCTCGTGTTGCTCCTGTGTTACTCCTCGTGTTACTCCTCGTGTTACTCCTCGTGTTGCTCCTCGTGTTACTCCTCGTGTTGCTCCTCGTGTTGCTCCTCGTGTTGCTCCTCGTGTTACTCCTCGTGTTACTCCTCGTGTTACTCCTCGTGTTGCTCCTCGTGTTACTCCTCGTGTTACTCCTGTGTTACTCCTGTGTTACTCCTGTGTTACTCCTCGTGTTACTCCTCGTGTTGCTCCTCGTGTTGCTCCTGTGTTACTCCTGTGTTACTCCTGTGTTACTCCTGTGTTACTCCTCGTGTTGCTCCTCGTGTTGCTCCTGTGTTACTCCTCGTGTTACTCCTCGTGTTACTCCTCGTGTTGCTCCTCGTGTTACTCCTGTGTTACTCCTGTGTTACTCCTCGTGTTACTCCTCGTGTTACTCCTCGTGTTACTCCTGGTGTTACTCCTGGTGTTACTCCTGTGTTACTCCTCGTGTTGCTCCTCGTGTTACTCCTGGTGTTACTCCTGTGTTACTCCTCGTGTTACTCCTGGTGTTACTCCTGTGTTACTCCTCGTGTTACTCCTGTGTTACTCCTGTGTTGCTCCTCGTGTTACTCCTGTGTTACTCCTGTGTTACTCCTGTGTTACTCCTGTGTTACTCCTCGTGTTACTCCTGGTGTTACTCCTGGTGTTACTCCTGTGTTACTCCTGTGTTACTCCTCGTGTTACTCCTCGTGTTCACCGGCACCTGATGATGTCACTGATGAACACAAGCCTGAACCTCGAGCTGAGACTGAACACACACACACACACACACACGACAGATTACTCTGATCAGCTCTTTTGTCTTTGGGTCGATATATTTCTCAGACTTCTGCTCTTTCTGAGTCAGATGCAGATACAGTAGCACAGTAAACATTACATTTATATGACATCATTAGTGTGAGAGAGTGATTGCGTGTGAATATCCCCCGACCGTCTCTCTAGTGAAGCTGGGGTTTTAGTTCATCAGAAACATATGCTAGAACTTTACAGTTTCTGAGCTATTTTATTGATAAATCACAGAACAGAGTTTAGAATATATTCTTCTTCACGAGACATTAGACTTAGACAGACTTTATTGTCATTCAACTGCACATTCACAATATACAGTTGAGCGAAATTACGTTGCAAGGCTCCGAAAATATAAATAAAACAATATAAATTTAAGTATGAGCAATATAAAATATGTGCAATATAAAATGTAACAATTATGAGACAATTATGGCTAGTGCAAATATCTGTAGCAGCAGGATGTATTGCAGCAAAAAACAGATAAATGGACAATATAACATTAAAATTACTTATTACTTATATTCAATTCAAATTTATTTGTATAAATTCTATAAATTTATTTGTATAAAGGCCCTCTACAGGCCATGATCAGCGACTAGTCAAAGTCAAGCTTAAAGCGTCATCGCAGAGCATTAAAGTCGACTATTCTGTTCAACCACTAGTGTGTGTGTGTGTGTGTGTGTGTGTGTGAGAAAGTGAGTCCGAGACTGCCTTAGCCTATAATTAGCACAGTTATTATATTAATAATAAAGATGATGGCACTTCGGGTGTAAAAAGGGTGATGCTGAACTTCAGCTTTGATCACAGGAATAAATTACACTTTACTGTATATTCACATAGAGAACAGCTGATTTACACTGGAGTAATATTACACTGTTTTACTGTATTTATGATCAAATAAACGCAGGCTTGGAAACTTTAAAAAAAAAACTTAAATCATAAAAAATCATAATGATTCCAAACTTTTGACCACCAGCAAAGTAAACCTGAATGTAGTAAACCTGGACATCTTTTCCCTGCCAAATCAACATTCTAAACGTAAATGTAAAGATGCCGAGGCGTTTCTGCTCTGTCTGAATATTATATTCTATAACACACGATATATTGGTCTCTCTCCTGTGTGTTTATGCAGGACGATCCACGGTTTGATCTATAACGCACTGAAGCTCTTCATGGAGATGAACCAGAAGCTGTTCGACGACTGCACACAACAGTTCAGAGCCGAGAAGAACAAGTGAGTCGCACACACACACACACACACACACACACACACACACGCGGCTGCGGGGTCATGTGATCGACCCGTGCCTGACCAACACACTTCTGCTTCCAGAGAGAAGGCAAAGCTGAAGGAGCGAGAGGAGGCCTGGATAAAGATCGAGAGTCTGGCCAAGTCGAACCCACAGGTGAGCCTCTCCATCCCATCATGCATCAGTGCTCGTACCACTTCCTGTCAATCCCGTGACCTGACTCGCTCTCCTACTGACGCCCGTGTGCATCCTCAGGCGCTGCTAATGGCTCCCGCTAACGTCCGTGTTTCTGTCTGTGTTTCTGTTCCACTAGTGCGTTTTGTATGTCGGTCCGTCTGGACTAACCAGTCCTGTAGAAATGGAGACGGACGTTCCCTTTATAGAAGAGGTTGAGATCTTAAAAAAGACAGTGCAGTCCAGAGCCGTTCAGGTAAATCAGAGAGCCGAGCTTCATCATCATCATCATCATCATCATGCGTGGAAAAGGACGATCCACGTGTTCTAACCCTTTCGTTTAGAGAGAGTTTGCTGTAATGAATGAGCAACTAGAGTTTAAACCGTAACTGGAGCTCTTCACGCGGCGGTCAAAAATTACTATTTTTTTTGTCAATGAAATTATTTGTACTATATTTTAGTTTGATTATGTTTTTTTTGTCATATACATAATACATATTTTGCATTTTTAGGGGATTTTTTGAATACTATTATAATTATTTACGCTGTATTTATAATACATTTATTCACTTTTTGAGCATAGACCTGAAAATTAAATTTCCAGCTCAAACTGTGGTAAATCTTGAACGCTTTAGAGCGACAGACTGAAGTTTGATCTCTTCTCAAACACGACACTTGGCAGATTATTGCTGAGGTGAAAAAAGTTTAAAAAGTGAACTTAAAAAAAAGTTATAGAATTTTACGTATTGTTATGAAAAATATGCAAAAATACTATTTAAAATTTTTATATGAAATATATTTTTGCAAGAAAATAAATAAATAAATCTCCACCAGTGGTGTTCCGCATGTGAGTCTGATCTCAGTAAACGAGCGTTCAGTGAGTGTGTGTTCGGCTGCAGTTCCACACGCTTCCACTAGAGGAAACTCTCCTTCATTTCCAGTGCGTCGTTTCTGACGGCAAGCAGCTCCAGTGGGACCAGTTAACCTGTTCAGATCATGGCCAGGGTGTGTGTGTGTGTGTGTGTTCACACAGCAAGTGCCAAAACCTTTACCAAGTTTCATACCATTACCATGAAGGAAAAAAATTCTCAAAAAAAACCCAAAACGTAAAATCTTTCGACCGAAGAGCACCTTAATCGTCCCGTCTGGTCAAGTGACTTTTACATTTAATAAATAGTCAAAACGTGCATATATGCCATCAAATATCAGATATGTTATAAAAAACAGAATCTGTGTTTACATGCACACCAATAACCTGTTAGCAGTCGGTTAGAAGAGCCTTGAGTGCGACTCACGCGCGTGTGTGTGTGTGTGTGGTGTGTGTTGCAGATGTCGAGGGAGCAGAGGAAGGAGCGGCCGCTCGTCAGGCGTAAATCTGATGTGCCTCAGGACTCGAACACCTCGAAAGCCTTGGAGTCGCAGCGTCGATCCGAAGACTCGCTCAACACTAGCGCCGGACACTAGCTCTCGCCGGACACTAGCTCTCGCCGGACACTAGCTCTCGCCTCATCATCCTCAGGTGTTTCTTCCATCGCTTCACCTCATCATCGGCCCGAACGGAGCCGCGCGACACACACGCTTTCTTCACTTTCTAGATTTCTGTTTATTTTCAGGGACGGCTGCCAGTGCCAATACGGTCATGTTTATTAGCTTCCCGCTAACATTGCATAGTTTGATTAGTATGATTTCTGCTGAGCTAATGTGGTGTTTGAGAGTAAAAGCCGTCATGCATTATGTGTGTGTGATCGCTCAGATCTGACGACTCTGAGTTCCTACACTTCTGTGCCATAATGAACTCTAGCTGAACATTGTGTCTTGTTTTAATGGACTTTCTCCGGAGGAATCTTCCACTCGTTGTGCCGTTTCACCGGTTCAAACTCAAACACTGGTGAGGTTCTCCAGCGGATCAGTGACGCGGCCTGGAGCCGAACCGCGAGTCTGTGTGTGTGTGTGTGTGTGTGTGTGTGTGTGTGACGTCATCTGAATGTCACGGTCATTCCCAGATCACAGATTCATCCGACATGGATCCGCTGTTGAACCGGAGTTCCCGAACGGACTGTGACTCTCATCCGTCAGGATCTCTGTGCCTTTCAGCAGCGATGAGAGTCGATCACTGAGCCTTCGGTCCGTGCGGATGGTCCCGATCCCAACGCAGCAGTGTGTGTGTGTGTGTGTGTGTGTGTGTGTCTGTGTGAGCGACAGCGACGCTTCGATTGTTCATTTCCATCTGGATGTTTTCCTGTTATTTTACTGAACTACCTAGAAGCACTTCCTGAAAACTTGAAAACTCTACTGTGTGTGTGAGTGTGTGTGTGTGTGTCTGTGTGTGTGAGTGAGTGAGTGAGTGAGTGAGTGAGTGTGTGAGTGAGTGAGTGAGTGTGTGAGTGAGTGTGTGAGTGAGTGAGTGAGTGAGTGAGTGAGTGAGTGAGTGAGTGAGTGAGTGAGTGAGTGAGTGAGTGAGTGAGTGAGTGTGAGAGAGAGAGAGAGTGTGTGTGACAGTCAGTGAGAGATAGAGTGAGTGTGTGAGAGAGTATTGAGTGTGTGTGACCGTGTGAGAGTCAGTGAGTGTAAGAGAGAGTGAGTGAGTGAGTGTGAGAAAGACTGAGACTGAGTGAGAGAGTAAGTGTGTGTGCGAGAGAAAGAGTGTGAGAGTCAGAGAGAGTTAGTGTGTGTGTGTGAATGAGTGTGAGAGTGTATGTTTGAGTGTGTGTGACAGTGTAAGTCAGTGAGAGTGAGTGTGTGTGAGAGAGTGAGTGTTTGAGAGTGTGTGTGTGTGAGTGTGTGACAGTGAGTGTGTATCAGTAGCATGCTTATAGTCATTTCTGTACCGTTGTTTGAACTTCTGTATGTTTTACTCGCTGCGTTTTATCCGTTTCTTTTCACCTATAATAATTCATGCAGTTTGTGAGTATATAAATGTTGATGTATAAAACACTTGTTTGTCTTGTTCTTTCACAAACACACACACACACGCTGCAAAAGAAGAGTTTGGCCCCTGTGTTCTCATCTCTTACTGTGTGTGTCTGTTGAATCATATAATAATAATAATATATAATAATAAACTTTATTTTATATAGCGCCTTTAAAAAGTATCTCAAACGCTTCAGAAAAATAGAAACATAATAAAACATACAATTTAACAAACAATGCAGTAGTAGTTGCTGACAGAAAAACGTAATAAAATACAAAATAAAAACATGAAAATAATAATAATACAACAGATTTCAACAATTATGTAAAAGCTACCCTAAACAAATAAGTTTTAAGTGATGATTTAAAAACACTAAGAGATTCTGCTTGCCAAATCTCAATAGGCAGGGAATTCCAAAGTTTTGGAGCATTCGACGAGACGGCCCTATCACCCATGGATTTTAGTCGGGTATGCGGAACAATTAAAAGGCCAGCTACCAAAGAGCGGAGATCACGTGCTGGTGTGTAGGGTGTTAAAAGTTCAGTTAGATAATGAGGTGTCAGTCCATGCAAGGCCTTATAAACCTGCGTGTCATCTGCATAAAAGTGAAAACTGAGTCCAAGTGATTTTAAAAGTTGACCAAGAGGATAAACGTATATGTTAAAAAGTATAGGGCCCAGGATAGAACCTTGAGGGACACCAGAATGCACTACACCAATAGCAGACCTGAAACCACCCATAGCAACAAACTGCTTTCTATCAGAAAGATAGGACTTAAACCAGCTTAGTGCAGTGTCAGAAACACCAAAAACAGATTCTAACCGAGCAAGTAAAATATTATGATCAACAGTGTCGAAAGCGGCACTGAGATCAAGAAGAATAAAAATAGAGAGGTTGCCGGAGTCTGAAGTGATTAACAAGTCATCAGTAACCTTAACTAATGCTGTCTCAGTGCTGTGTAGTTTACGGAAACCTGATTGAAGGGACTCATAGAGATTATTTGCAGCTAGATGGGAGTGCAATTGAATAGCTACAATTCGCTCTACAATTTTGGCAAGAAAGGGAAGATTGGAAATGGGACGGAAATTATTTAGATTGTAAACGTTTGTGTCTTTTTTTTTTGGTACAGGAGTCAGAGCAGCAGTTTTAAATGTTGCTGGCACCACACCAGTGCACAGAGAATCATTTATAATATTCAGTACAATAGGACATAAAATAGCAAAACATGATTGGAACAGACAAGTTGGTACAGGATCAACTATGGAAGTGGCAGCTTTCATTTTTGAAACTTCATTACAAAGAGAATGAAGGTCCAATATGGAAAAACTTGATAGAGGGGTACCAGAAAATTCAGGAGTGATTGTGAGAGAAAAAGGTGAAGGAAGAGTAGAAATGATACATTTACGGAGGTTATCAACCTTTGAGCTAAAAAAATCAAGAAACCTATTACAGAGGTGAGTCGAAGCTGGAGCAGTCGAATAACTGTTACATTTAAGAAGTTTGTTAATAGAATAAAACAATTGTCTTGGGTGGTTCTGATTGTTATCAATTATCTGTGCAAAATAAGCAGATCTGGCCGATGCAATTTGTGTCTTATATTCAAGTAAGTGATCTTTCCAAGCCTGGTGAAAGACAGTCAAGCCGGACTTACGCCACCTACGCTCCATTGTACGACAGGATGTCTTCAGAGCACGCAGGTTTTCATTGTACCAGGGAGAGGGTCGACCAAAAGAAACCAGACGTGATTTCAAAGGCACAAATGAGTCCAGGCCAGACGAGAGAACAGAGTTTAACATGAGAACTTTGTCCTCCAGAGCATCAGATGAAGAAAATGCGCTCAAGGAAGAACCAATAAAATCTGAGAAATCAGAGGGTTCAATCGATCTCGATTTGCGATAGTTAATAATGCGAGAAGAGGTGGTTTTTATATCAGGCAGTTCCATATTAAAAAAGATAGACAGATGATCAGACAGCCCCAAGTCAGAGGTGTACAACTGTGACAAATGAGCCGTTTAAAATCACCAAATCAAGAGTATGGCCTTTATTATGTGTAGGACAGTCCACGAGCTGGTTCAAATCGAAGCACTCCAATAAAGATAAAAACTCTTTTGTTGTTGTGGAATCTTTTTTGTCCATATGGATGTTAAAGTCCCCCAAAATTAAAGTTCTCTCAAATTTGAGGCATAGCAAGGACAACATATCTGCAAATTCAGATAGAAAGTCTTTATTTTTCTTAGGAGGCCTGTAGACTGTAGCTATGGCAGTGGAAATGTGGGCAGATACACTCAAAACAAGACATTCAAATGAGTTAAACTGTGGAACAACCACAGGACTCAAGCTGAGTTGGTTATTATATAGCACAATAATACCCCCACCTCTTCCAGAGGAACGCGGGAGATCAAATAAGCCATATCCAGTCAGGCGTTTAGGCAACATTTAGACTTTCAGCTGTTTGCAATGAACAAATCAAACAAAAGTGATAGCTCAACACAACACAAGTGGTTTCCCCAAATTCAACTGAAAATGCAACTTTTAAAGACTTCTCCAGTCTCAAAACTATTCACCCCCTTCATGGCAAGCATCTTCAGCTGTGAGTCGAGCAGCCGTCTGCTGTTGAGCTGCTGAAGCGAGATGTATGATCGACAGCAGCTTCTGTTCCTGAGGGATCTGAGCCGTTCCTCATGAGCACCGGCCTCCAGCTCTGGGATATTCCTGGCCTTCTTCACATCCCTCCAGAGGTGTTCTGTGGGGTTGGAGTCAGGAGACTGTGCTGCCCCTGTATCTCCCAGCACTTCTCCTGACACCAGGCCTGGGTGGAGTCTGAGGTTTGCTCGGGATCGTTGTCCTGTTGAAGGTCCGAGCTCCAGCCTCCTCACTGACGGCATGATGTTCTCTCCCAGCATCTCCTGATCCTTCAGTGATCATCTCTCCTTCCACACGCTGCAGGTTTGCAGAGCCGGAGGATATAGATCAGCGCAGAGCATCACGAGCTCCACACCCTGAACTGTAGACCGTGTTCTCATCAGCTTATCCTTCATTCCTCTTCCTCAGACACACCGCTGATCCAGAGGGACGAGAAGCTCCAGTATTGTGTCATCGCTCCACAGAACAGAATCTCAAAACGTCTGTGGCTTATTTACATGATTTTGAGCAATTTTCTTGTGCGTTTGTGTCAGTAGTGGTGTAGTCCTGGAGCTCTGATGCGTTTAGTATGAGCTTTACTGTGCAACTGAACATCAGTGTCTGTGGCCACCAGATCTTCTGCAGTCACTCCAGGGTTTACTGAGCCGTTGAGATCTTCCTTCTTCTGCTCGTCCAGGGAGTGTAACCACTGTTCCTTTAACTTTAAACTTGTGAACTATTCTTCCAACGGTGTCTCGAGGAACATTTAGTGCCTTCACTATATTTTGTATCCTGTTCCTTGTTTGTGAAGGGCGATGATATCTTCTCTTAACTTTTTGGACCATTCTATTGACCCTAACATGCAGTCAAACGTGACCCTCAACAAACCTCGCCAGTTCAGATATTTCATGTGTTCTAGCTCAAGCACACCTGGTACAGCTAATGAAGCCCTTGATTAGCGAGACAACACCTGTTCTGCAGATTTGTGCTGTTGTGAGGGATTCTATTCAGGGGGTTGAGTAATTTAGAGACTGCATTAGTCATTAAAAGTTGCCTTTTCAGTTGAATTTGGGGAAACCACGTGAAACATTTGTTGTGTTGAGCTATTTCAATTACCTTTGTTTAATTTGTTCATTGCAAACAGCTGAAAGTCTGTAAATTTAGCCAATAAATTTGCAGTGGGGTTTGAATAATTTTGATTGCAATTATATCTTAACTTCGAATGATTGTCCTGATGAGTGAGTGTTTCACATTGAGAACATACAAGACTTTCAGTGCTTGTGTAATAAACTCATATCTGTGAATGTGTTTGTGCTACAGGAATAAAATAGTTTATATGGTCTATCAACAACAATATATGTACAGAATAATACAACTACAGATTAATGGAATGTGCTTGAAACTATTTCCATTTCTGAGGAGTTAATAAATAAACATGATTTCTATCATAATTCAAAGCAAATCTTCTGTAGTTCTGAATCAAACACGAATCTGAGAAACTCTGAGTTTGCTGTGTGTGTGTGTGTTTATGAATCTAGTCTATTTTAGCATGATCTCAAAATTATTCTAACATTAACATGAAATCATTAGTACAGTAATCCTGACCTGGACTTGATCTGCTCATGATGAGACTATAAACCGAGAGAAGAGCTGTATTAGTTTCTCTCTCCTGTGCCAGATCTGGCCTGAGGATAAATGACATGCGTTTCAGAAACACGTCTGTATAAGCCGGTTAGTTCCTCGTGTCTGAAGGATTCCTGTCTGGCATCGGGATTAATGAAGCACGAGTAGTTTCCATCATCGGTTGCCTTCACACACATTAAACACTC